TCTGTAAAAACCGTTATTTGTAGTTGTCTCTTCTACTTTTCTCCAACAAGTTTCTGTTTTCGTTTGCCGTAAGTTTGATACAAGTGATCGTCAAGGAGAGTTGTGCTGTTTAATCAATAAATTCACTATCTTTGTTTTCTTTTCTTTCATTTTGTTTTTCTTTTATATGTTTTTTGGTTTTATTTGTTTAAATGGATTGAATTTGAATACCAAAATAACACCCCTTTTTTTTTCTTTGCCCTTTGTTTTGTATTTGTATTTTGTAGAAAAGATGATACTGATTTGGTATGTAACACTGGCCAATAATCAAAGGATTCATGCCTCTAGGAAATTAAAGGCCTAGAGGAGGGCAAACAGCCACTAGCTAATGTCACATCTGGGCTTTAAGCCAAGTAAGTCACTTGTTATGATTAAAGAAAGATTAACTATAGTTAAAATTCTTGTAATTTTTGCTTGGTTACTATCTTAATAAAACAGTGACAGAATATGCTAAAAAAAAAAAAAAAAAGTGTTATCATATAACTAATTAAAAATAACTATAATAAAATATAAGAAAAATATAGAAAAAAATATATTAAAAATATATATTAAATAATCAAAAAAAAATAAAATAAAAAGTTTATTACAATACTATAAATAGTAAACTATCTAATTTTATCCAATTTATCTGCAACCTAAACCTACTAGAGTGGTTAAAACTCATCTAAATTTGTAAACAATTTTATTTAAATTATCTATATATGATATTGATGATTTTTTAATTTTTTCTTATATACTAAGTATATACCCCACAGGTACAAATAGAAATCCTCTATTATTAAATATTATATTTAAATTTTTAATAATTGTAAAATCTGATTGGCTAATTAGAGTATCAGGTGTGAGTAGGTGAAAGTAGGCTCATATTAAACAAAAATTAGCTGATTTTTTGAAAGCTCCCTTACACCATGTATATGTTGTACTCGAATTGGAATCGGTCCCGATTCAGAATCGGGAAACTTTGGCCCGGATTATACTAGCCAAAATTAAAATTTTTTATTATAAACCCCAATTCTAACCCTAACACTAACTCTAAAGTCTTAATTCTGCAAAAACAATTCACAAGATTCCCATCCAGGGCAGCCCAGGACGATTCCAATCTGGGGTACGACATATGTATACAAACACGTGTAATTTTAGAAATTTTCTATTATTATAAATTATCAAAAAATCCCAAATAAATAATTAATACTATATATATAATATATATTATATATATAAAGTACTTAAAAAAAAAACTTGAAGTACCAGAATTATTTTTCTAAAATAATTGTTAGCACTCTGATATAATTTATATTAGAATATAATGTTAAAAGGTTTTCAAATATTATTACTTGTCAATAAAATAAAACAATGTTTATTTTTATTTCTTAATGAGCATGGTAATCATGCCAACAAGTATCAAACGTTCAAAGTATAAATAATAAAATTCCGTTTAGTTCTACAAAACGCAGCTAAAGCAGAATAAAGATAATATGAACACATTTGATAATTCATTGAGATAGTCTGTTAAACAATATACAGTGTATAAATCAAATTCAACTTGCAACAACTTCAGGGATACAAAAAAGTTTTATTTGAAGGAATCTCATATTTTTTTAAAAAAATATTAAGGGGATAAACGAAGGGTATAAAGGGGTTTAAAAAAATTTTAACATTGACTGTAATGAAAAGCAAAAAAATGAGAAAATTAGAGTGAAAGACATGAAAGGGGAAGGATAATCGGCTTGAAATGTCTGTGCATAATGTTCAATGAAGCAACCAAAGCCGCACGTTGCATTCTTTATGAAGAACTAAATCCTATTGTTCCGTATATAATATCTAAGAAATAGTGACAAAAAGAAAAAGGAAACGACGATAAAAGAAAAACAAAGGAGGGAATGGGAAAAAAGAAACAAAGAACAAGACTATAAAACAACTTTTATCAATTATAACAAGGGAGAAGGATTTTTTAGGTATGAATCCTAACACAACAAACAGAAGAGAATAAGCTCTTACATAGTGTTACCACTACCAAAGTGAAATCCAGTTTGGGGTAAATTGAAATCTGATTGAAAAACAAATTGATTAGAAGTCATATCTACTTCAGGAGCTAGGGTTCTATCCTCTTCCTCTTCATCTTCCGCGAAATATAGATCAATTATATGATACGCTTTCTTGTAAATTTCCATGTTGTCATGAATCTGCAAGTTATGAATTTTCTCCATACCGCCGGCTTCTTCAATGAACAATGAAAATTGGTTTACACCATTAACCTTTTCCAATTCGCCAACTTTTAAGATATTTTCGAGACCATCTAAAGCAACTTGAATTATCTTATTATCCATGCAAGTCAGCAAATCACAAAGAGGCTTGATACATCCTTGACTGACAAGATATTTAATTTGTTCAGGTTTATTCAAACCACCGGACGTTGCGTTAGAGATCGCCCAACACGCTTCCTTACGAGTTTTAAGATCTGCGTGCTGCAAGATATTGATAAGTGGAGGTATAATGTTGGCATCTATCACTGCCTGTATCTGAGCACAATTTCCAGCGGTAATGTTGGAAATGGTCCAGCAGGCCTCTTTTCGAAGACCATCCTTTGGGCTAGACAACAAGCTTAGTAAAGCTGGAAGTGCGCCACAATTAATAATGACTTGGGTTTGAACGTCGTCTCCGGTAACAATATTTCCGACAGATCGTAAAGCAGGTGTCTGAACGGATGTGGAGGAGTGCCTAATAATGGATTTTGGTAAATATACGTTTACGAATACGGAGAAATTGGTAACATCTGATGAGTGGCACTTACATCAAAAGCTCAACAAGCCGGCGGCAAACGCCGGACTCAATTACAGCTTGTATTTTTTCATTGCTGCCGTCTGACAAGTACGAAATAGCCCAGCATGCATCAATGAGAACTTCGTCATCAATGGAATAAATAAGCTTCGCGAGAACAGGAAGCGCAGGAGAAATCTGATGAATAAAGAAATGGGATTATATTTGTGAGTCGACAAATTATCATGCTCAAGTATTACGTGTTTGAAAATATAATAAACACCGATTGAAATGCTTACCAAATTCCAATCAGGTGGAGGATTTTTTCCTCGGCAAAAGTTTGATAAGGTCCAAGTTGCATTACGAAGCATTGAAAGCTTATGGTGTTCATTCAAGATGGACAATAAAGGTCGAAGTGCCCCTTCGTGCAAGACGTAGTCACGACATGGAGGACTATCGCCCGCAATATTGCCCAAGGCCCACACAGCCTATTGATGATAATTTTGGTTAAATTTATTAGAAGTAGCTTTTATCATTTATTGTCATTATAGATCAAATATAAGGAAAAATAGCTTACTTGTTCTTTAACGTCAGCGACAGGGCTACTCAATAATTCGACAAAGATCGGGACAGCTCCAGCATCGATTACAACTTGAGTTTGTTGAGATGATCCAGAGGCGATATTTGTTAAAGCCCAAGCTGCTTCAAACTGTATTAAATTTAAAACGCGTATGTCAAAAAACATGGCTAATCTGAATTTATGAAAATGGTAAAATGCTTATAACTTACTTGAACAAGGGAATGAGGAGATCTCAGAAATTCAACGAAACGTGAGACAACACCGCATTCAATAACTTGCTCGATTGGAGGATTTCGTTCTTTAGAAAGCAACTTTCTAAACTTTGTAGTGGCTTGCAGCTGTTCTTCAACGTTGTCAGAGAAGACACCTGATATCATGCCAGGTAACTGCTCTTGGAGCTAAACAAATAAGAAATTAATAAATATCTGAATCTATCAAATTAATATCCAATCTGTATGGGCAAGTACATATTTCTTCAGTAAGAAACATCCTAACGCACATATTAGCACCAAAGAATACAAAAGTTACTATGATCTATATGGTTTCTATACCGTATCTATGCCACAATGTTTTCTTAGTACGATAGAATTCCCGTAACACATAGTATATTATATTTCATTTTAAAAAACTTTTACGCAGAAATTCGACTAACAAAACATACTATACCTGAGCATTGATGACTGCAACAGCAGACTCATCATCAGAATCAGGCGAAGCGGGAACATTTAGATTACGACGCTTCGCTAAAGACTCTTCACGGTTTTTTCGGCGAATTTCGATCTGTTGTTCTTCGCGGCGGCGGCGTAACTCTTCAGCCTTAAAAACGGACTTTGCTTTAAAAGCATTTTTTCTATGTTCAGGTATTTTGTCCATATTGTTCGATGTTATTCGATGTTGTTCGGTCGTATTAAGGCTGTCAATTACTAGTGACCACTAGTTGAACCCTTTCTCAAGAACAAGAAAAGGAATTGATATTTAGAGGAAGTAAAATTTGTGATATCAAAAAAGTGATTATTGATAAATAACATGTGATCACTCACGCTACGGATCGCTATAAGGGTTTTATCGTACTGTACAACAATACGCACTCACAACTCCGTTTTTCCCGTTTCTTTATACTGCGGTTTGCTAAGATGACTAATCAAGAAAGCAAAAAGGTTCTGGTATTGGTAACAGACGGCAGCGAAGAAATAGAAGCCGTGACAACCAGTTCGTGGTTTATGAACTAAGTTCTATTAGAATAGTAGTTATTAGAATTAGAATTCACCGTCCTTTAATTTTATACTGTAAGTTGATGTTTTACGACGCGCCGAAGTCGACGTAACCGTGGCCGGAGTCGCACTGAAAAACGCCAACTATGCGAAGTGCAGATGTGATGTTATGATTGTACCTGACATTGCATTTTCAAGTCTTAGCAACTTTGTAATATTTATTCCTTATTGTATAATCCTTTACAAAAACGATACAATAACAATTGTTTAATTATACAAAGGATATCTATGATGCAATTGTGATTCCTGGAGGCTTGAACGGGTAATTATGAATTTCTCATTTGTGAGTGCCTTGTTGATTTTCCTATGTGCCACTTAAAATTGATATATTATGATCTTAAATTAAGAGCGAAGACTCTTTCTTCAAGCCAAGAAATTCAACGTTTATTATCATCTGCTTATGAGAATGGCAAGATCGTCGCCGCGATTTGTGCTGGTACAGTAATTCATAAAAATTTCCATAATTATTAGGATGTGTATTCACGATACAAAAAATTGACTATTCACTTGTAATGTTAGGACCACTTGCGATAAAAACCGCAAAAATCCACCTAAAGGGCAAGATTACCTCTCATCCAGTCATTAAGGAAGAATTGGCGAAAGGTTTTTGAATGATCTAATACTCGAACTTTACTGTAAATTATCGTGCAAGACATCTGAGTATTTTACATTCCGCGTAATAACAAACCTTTGATTTATACCCGGACATATTGTATGGCAGAGGGTATATTATGTAGAGTATTTTGTATACTAATCCATTAGGAAAAAAAAATATTTAATCATCATTGATTTATATCGGATCTCTTACAAAACACCACAACAAATAACCTTGAAACATACCCAATACAATCAAGAAAGGTATAAATCGAGGGGTATCTTACACGGTAATTTACGGTACTTGTTAACATCATATAGCTAAGTATAACGATTAACGTTCTAGAATATGATTATCAAGAAGAGAACGTTGTTGTTCATAATAAAGTTATTACTAGGTTTGTTCACGCTTTCATAATTGTGCATATATATATATATATATTTATATATATTCATTATGAATATGTTATTCATATTGATACAAAACTACAGTCGTGGGCCAGGTACTGCGTTGCTCTTTGGGTTGACCATTGTGGAACAACTTTTAGGTGAAGCGAAGCGTAATGAGGTTGCGTCTCCAATGATGCTCGTATCTCCTTTATAAATCGAACAAACCAAAATTTAAGCTTATGCCCTTTCTATTTCTGTCGTACAAGCATTTCAATTATTAACTACGAACTAGTTGATGTTACATTCTTATATTTGCAGTTACAATAAAAATTTTTTTTTTTGCGCGAAATAATGTGTGATAATTACGAACATAGCACTTAACCCAATTCAAAATGCTGTCTAAACGCGAATCAATTTAAACAGGATATTCATTGTAGAGGGTTGTATGAAGTCTTCGCAATAGAAAGACAGAAACTATCAAAAAAAGTGGATTTTTTGTTAATTTTAGGCGTGCGTGCGATCGTGAGGTGATTTTCCTAACGTTCGTGTCTTACACGAACCATATCGGGTGGATATTTTTAAACCGGTAAAAAAAAAGGCACTACGATACATATATTCGCAAATACATACACTGGCTACTTGATTTTGTTAGTTGAACGAAAGTCACATGATCTCAAATGATTGGACAATCTTCCTCTGCATCGCCATCAAGGGGGCTGCACCAAGAACACCTCCAAAAAATTCTGCGCAGCCAATCAGATGTCAAGATCAGGTGTAACGTAGCACAATCAGGAAAATTCATTCGTTTTATCAAAAATCGCTTATAACTAGAAAATCTACATAGGAAACCACCTTTTGCGTTCTAACAAAAAAAATTCTTCGTCAAATTTCGGTATAGGATATGTTTTAATCTCACCCTAACGCTAATCTAATGTCTAGGTTTTATTACTTTAATTTTTCGTTTATTAGTGTTTTTGACAAAATTAGATGCATGATATCACGTGACTGTGCAGAAAATTTGGAGGTGCGGTTGGTGTAGTTTAGTGATTTGAACCGAGAAAAATTTCTTTAATCGGTTAATCAAACCAAATTATTTTATTCAACCGATTGTCAACTAGTTAAGATTAACTATCTACTATTATTAAAAAATTTTCAAAACTTTACTTTTTTTATATTTATTTATTTTTTTTTTAAAACTTTTTAGACTTTTTACTCTCTTCTTACATCATTTTCATATTATATTGATTTTGCCAACTGATTACCCAATTTTCAAATGATTGTATTGAATCAACTGATTAAGAATTTTCTTAACTAGTTAATTGAAAATTATTTAGTTTGGGTTGATTAACCAATTATAGCCCAACTAATTCAAATCACTAGTGTAGTTATACTAACACAGTATGTATATGACTTATATACATTATTGGTAAAGTTTTTTAAAATCAAATTAAATTAAATATTAGATTTATTTAAATTTGATTTGATTTGAAAATCTGGATTTGAATTTGATTTGATTTAAAAAATTTGGATTTGAATTTGAATTGATTATTTGATTTTAAAATTTCAAATCAAATTAAAATTTTAGTTATTTATAAAAATCTTTGATTTCTTAAAATTTATTAAGCTAATTGATTTAGTATATTAAATAAAAAATGTTCTTCTAATTAAAATATCCCTAGTTTTATAAAACTAAATTAGTAATTGTTTTAATAAAATTTTGAGAAAATAGCTTTTAAAACTATAACTTCTTAAATTTTAGCTATTTATGAATTTTTTAATTTTTTTAAAATTTTATTAAGTTCAAAATTTTATCATCACCAACTCTTCCTGACAATCAGTTGTATCAACCTAACACCGAAAGCAAGTTGAAGATTTAAGCCTAAAAGTCGACAACAACTTGAAGTTTTCTTGATACGAACTGTTGTCAACGAAGTCTTTAAACGTGATACACTGAGGAGCGGGCGTTTTGGATGGTTTGCAAAGGGGTCAAGCCTTGCTTTTCTGCTATTTCTGGGGTGGACTTCCTTTTGCGTTTGGCATCCAAACTGAAGGAGTCTTTGAGAACAGCAAGTAGAAAAGAAAACTAAAGTTAGTTTGAAGATAGAAGACTCTGAAGAACTCTTGGAACAACACTCCTTGGTTGGAAAACTCGCATAAACTCGATATTTTCTTGCTGTTTTTTGGTTTCAA